TGCCCTGCTCGGGCAAATCCACGGCCACTTGAATTTTCTGTTCATGGTTTCTGGCTCCAGAACCCGACTTGTAAACAAAGGCGATGCCTGCTCAAGAAGTTTTCACAAACAAATAGTGCTGTCGCTGGTTGTTTCTTAGCGAGGGCACTTATGCAAGGCCAGGGAAAATGAAAGTGTTCTCCTGAGACTCTGCCCCAGGAGAGGTTTCTACAGATCTTTGTTGGACACATCACAGCATTATTTTGTGATGTCTTTCCCTCTCTCTTTTAGATTGGCTGGGTCTTAATCCGTGGTGTCATCTCAGCACAGTGGACTTGGTTGTGTTTTCATTTGCAGCCAATATTTATCCACCTTTCAATTGCTTTAGGTCATGAATTACGATATTGTGAACGTCTGAAGTCATTTTCAGCTCCAAGTGAAATCACGGTTAGTGTTAGCCCTGCTCAACCTATGTCTTTGACCTGTGAGGCTTAGCCAGCAAAGTTTTTACCCTCCAAATATGTGGTTGTTGCCCATTCTCTGAGGACACGGATTCCTTGAGGCCCATATAGACAGTCAGCTGCGCCACCAGCAGAGCGTTGAGAATGTTACTCTTTTCTGTTAGGGATGCTTTGAGGGTTCTGCTCTTTTGCTTAGTCAATTTAGGGAAAACGGATCTGAATAGGAGCCGCCTAACAACGGCTGGCATTGAGGGAGGATAGGAACCTGAGGGCTGGCTTCCGAATTGGGGGCAGGCATTCCTGGACTGAGACCTTTAACCTTGACTCTGTTGGTCTGAGGTGCATTTTCTCTTGTTGATGGAGAGCTTGAAATTATTTTTATTTTATGTGGCCCTAAGCAAGTCATCAGCTGTCTTTAGACACTGGATTGATGGATAACTTATTTGAGAATTCCACGTGCCTCCCTTCGACGTGGTGTACCCCAGGAGCAAACACCGACATAAAGGCAGGTTCTTTTCCTGGTCACCAACAACCTGTCCAGTCCAGTCATCGGCACAGGCATGTTTTACATCACTGTTAGAAAATAAATCTGGGCTGTGGTTTCTGAACTTCTTCATCAGACTAAAAGAAAGGAAGAGTGCCTGCATGCAGCCTTTCCCATTGAGATCATCATTCACCCCGTGAATTTTTGAGAACCAAGTTCCCTCTCTCCAGAAGCTTATGCCCTTTAAATAATATAGTCATATAAATATAACATATCATTATTGGATTTATAAATTGTATTAATATGTAGTGTTTATGTATATATAAATTTGTAATAATTTATAAATTAATTAACATGTAATTTAATCTTTGTAACGACATGGCCACGTCAATATCATAATATTCATTTTGTAGTCAGAGAATGTAAAGTCTAAAGAGGCTGTAACTTTCCCAAGATCTGAGTGCCCCCAGCGAGTTGTGGTGTGAGCATCACACCATGTGCTTTTGTGGTTGACTCTACGGTAGATAGCACAGTGACGGGCCGTGCACATCCTCTGGTGCAGTGCGTGCTATTTCTCATTTCATTTTTCTATGCTACAGAATTGTGACTACACATGTTTGAATTGTTGTTTTAAATGCAGATATTCCAAAATCTGAAGGCAAAGGATCAACATATTCTAGAAACATTCTGGGGAGACCCAGGTAAACAAAAGTAAAGCTAGAGGGATGAAGGGAAAATTGCAGACTCGAATCACTCTAATCTTGATGAAATGTTTGCATTACGTTTGTATCTCAAAGGGAGGCATTTGGGGGCCGTCGTACCGAGTACCATGTTGATTGTTCTTTCTGTTACGTGTCACGAGCATAATTCTGATCTCTTGCCATTGGTCCTAAAAAGATCTGTTGATGTAGATAATACATAATTATTGTACACTCTGGAGGGCTCGTGGTTGGTGGGTGGATTTTGTCTCCATCTGACCTGCTGTGTTGATGGTGGTTGCTGAGAGCCGTGAGTTAGGGAAAATCCTGTGGTTTTCTGTGTCTTTCAGAAGAAGCGGGAGTCAGTTCATGAGTTGGTCAGGAGGACTGGAGGGGTGGTGTTTACCTCTCTTGATCAAGAGGAAAGAGGTTTAATATGAAATGGAGTATGTATGATAAGGCTGTTAGGATCTCAAGCCGGTAAACAAGGATAGCATTGAAATACCGAGAGAAAGCCCTGAAGAGAGGGCCACGTGAGTTCAGGCAGCAGTTTTTCCCTGCCAGTGGGATAGACCACTCTTTCACTGTAGAGCCTTAGGAGTATTTGAAAGCTTGTGCTATGAAAAATAGGAATCTTACAGGAGAATCACACGGGTCCTGGAGAGGAACCTGTTTGGGACAGGCAGATTCTCGTCTGTTGCCCCTCCATCCCCCCCGGGCACAGTGGCCTGCTTTCTCCTCCCTTCTGGTGTGTGGACTGAGCTGGGATTGCTGTGTAGCTGCTATGAGGGGCAGTAGGGAGACCTGGGGGAGCATCCTGGATTCCTGGAGCGGGAAGGCGGGTTCTGGCCTGGAAGGAAGACCTGCGCTGGGTGGAGCGGTACTGACGGGAGGGGCACAGTGAGCTGTGGTTGGGGACATTCCACTGTGCCCCTTATGTGGCTCCCTCTGTTTTCAGCCAGGATACTCCCCGCCTGAGGAATCTGAGCCCACAGCTGCCTACTGAGGAGTTTCCCGACTCCTGTGGGCAGATGTTGGGGCCCATGGCAGCACAGGCGGCTCTCACTCTGTGAGCCATCAGCTGCTTCACATTGTGCTGTTGTTTTAAATCTCTGGTTTTCTTAAGTATTTATGAAATTTCAGAGCAAGACTGGCTTGAATTGAGCCCTCTCTTTTCCTTTGCTCTACCGTAAGCACTTTCACTCCCCATTTCCCAGGCACCCAGTGGGAGGAAGGCAGACAGGGAGAGGCGGGTGCTGTCATCCTTAGCAATGTGGGGGCGTGTGTGCCAGAAGGCCCTCCCTCCTGGTGTCTCTACAACATGCCCCAGGCGGAAGCATTTGATGGGTGGCCGGTATAGTGAGGGAGGGTCCCGGATGCTCTCAGAACATCCTGGAAGCATCCCTGCAAGGACAGTATTGAGTCTTGCTGAGAAGTCAGACAGTCTCAGACAGAGGTGGGAGATTTGTGGCCAGTGTGCCACTGGCCGTTGGAAAAGCAAGCTGAGACCTCAACATTTCTTTACAATTCCAGGTCTCTAGCTGCAAATGCCCTGGTTCCTCGGTCCCTGGAGGCCATGCCTGGGCCAGCGCCTCATGTTTACAGCACCCCTGGCCAGCGCCAGGTTGTGGAGGGAGGTCAGCACGAATTTGTCAACAGGGAACATCCTTCCACAGTCTTACTTACAATTTTTGGTTTATTTATCAGTCCCTTTCCTTGCAGATAGCACAAAGGTAAACATCTTGTGGGTCTGGCTGGAGTCACAGCTCCCTGCCTCTGGGGCTGGCTTCTGGGCTTTGCGTTCCTGTAGTGGACAGTCCTCTGGTTAGGGAAGACAGAGCCCTCCCTGCCGTGTCCTCCTGCATGCTGGTCCAGATCACATCTGCTGTGGTGGCTTCTCATTTGCCATTGTGAGGCATGTGATATTTTAAAGCCATCTTTCTCCAAGAAAAGTCTCTTTTACGGGAACGTGGCTGTCTCCGGTAGTCACTACCCCACAGCCTTGTGGTGGGGGAGGGCTCTGCCTGTGTATGGTTTGGTCTGAGAGCAGAATCCAGCCTGTCCAGGGCCTTCCACCCCCTGCGGATTCGGGAAAGTGCCACTTACTGGTGGTCCTGCCCCTGCTCTCTGAGTGAGGCGTGCCCCTGTCCCTGCAGCTCCCCCGTCTATGGCCTGATAACCCTCCCAATGATGCCAGTGCTGTGCACTGTCACAAGAGGCAGGAGAGTCACCGGTTATAAAGGCAGGGCAGAGGCCGGGCGCGGTGGCTCACGCCTGTAATCCCAGCACTTTGGGAGGCCTAGGTGGGCGGATCACAAGATCAGGAGTTTAAGACCAGCCTGACAAACATGGTGAAATCCCATCTCTACTAAAAATACAAAAATTAACTGGGCTTGGTGACGTGCGCCTGTAATCCCAGCTACAGGCTGAGGCAGGAGAATTGCTTGAACTGGGACCTGGGAAGTAGGAGTTGTAGTGAGCCAAGATTACACCACTGGACTCCAGCCTGGGCTACAGAGCGAGACTCCATCTCAAAAATAAATAAATAAATAAATAAATAAATAAATGAAGGCAGGGCGAGACACTTAGGCTCCTGCTCTGCCCACCGTTTCACACATGCCAAGTATCTAAAGGAGGGGGGAGCTATACCCTTTGGCTCATTGGCACAATCATCTAGGGTGCTTGAGCTGCACCCTGGAAACCTCGTGAACCCCAGCTTGAGTTCAAATCACATCAGGGTGATTCCAAACACATCTCACATGCTCACCAACAGGACCTCTGGATAGCCAGGCATGGGAAGCTAAATGCCAACACTGTCCGGGTCTCCCTGTCTCCCTTCCTCCCTCTTTCTGTCTCTGTCTCTAAATTATAGTGTGCACATAATCATTTAGCATAGTACACACGGTAATGACCGGCTGCTTCTTTTTTGAAAACAAAAGACCTTAAGCTACAACATGGAGCGTTGAGATGAAAGAAGAGCTATCACAATCAGTCGTTAAAGTCTAGAAAAAAGAGACCACGGAATTCCATTTTTCAGATGTGTCCAAATCAGGGCACATCCTCTCGGTCTGAAGGGGTTCAGGTGTGGCCTCTCTGAGGACTAGTGATGGTGGTGTTCAGAGCTGTGGTTTCATAGGAGCAGCACAGGGAAAACGTGGAAGCCCCCCGTGGAGCCCCGCACCCAGCAGCAGCCTCTGCCTGCACCCCAGCTGTCTGCAAGCACCCGTGCCCAGGGTCAGAGTTCCACTCAGAAGTGTGAGCTCCCAGCCAGAGTCCAGAGGGGGTCCCTACTGTGCCGGCCTCTGCAGAGTGTGCTCCTTGCCAGGAACGTGTGTCCTGGCTGCAGCGGCTTTGTTTTGTTTTCCCTCTCTAACCCAGGTGAAATGCTACCACAAGAAATACCGCTCGGCCACCCGTGACGTCATTTTCCGCCTACAGTTTCACACTGGGGCTGTGCAGGGCTACGGGCTGGCGTTTGGGAAGGAGGATCTGGACAATGCCAGCAAAGGTGAGGTGTGGAGCAGGCAGCCCTGTGCTTTCGGCAGCTCCTTGGTTGATTCTTTCTCTATCCTCTTTACCACCTTTCCAAAATTCAGCCTGTTGACAAAATTGCTCCCAAATTAGAAGAAAGCAGTCATTGATCTGTGGGGAAAAAAATTACGGAGAACCAATGAAACTGCCTATACTTTCTGTATCATGGGACCTCTTTATTGCAGATTTGGGAGTGGTGCTATACTGGTTGGAATAAGGGACAAGGTCAATCTGTACTTTTCTGGTTAATCATCTCCACAAATGTGTTAAAATACATTGTTTTTTTCAGATGACCGTTTTCCTGACTATGGGAAGGTTGAGTTAGTCTTCTCTGCCACGCCTGAGAAGATTCAAGGTAGGTAGCTTGGTGGAACACTGGGGGGTCCCTGTTGACACTGGTGGAAGGTGGATGATGGCTACGCTGGGGCTTCAGCATTAGTCTCCTGCCTTTGCACATATTTGGAGATGCCTGTAATTAATTTTATTTAAGCATAGGATATTGGATAGTGGAACAAGAAGGCCCACTTGTGTCAGTAAGCCCCGGAGGTGGCGTGACTTGCCCACAGCCACTCAGCCAGGAGAGCCTCGGGCATGACAATGGCCATTCTTGCAGGAGTAAGGTGGTATTGCATTGTGGTTTTGATTTGCGTTTCCCTTATGGTTAGTGATGTTTAGCACTTTTTCATATGTTTGTTGGCCATTGGTATATCTTTTGAAAGATGTCTGTTCATATCATTTGCCCACTTTTTGATGGGATTGTTTGTTTTTTTCTTGAGGATTTGTTCGAGTTCCTTGTAGATTTTGGATATTAGTCCTTTGTCAGATGCCTAGTTTGTAAATATTCCCTCTCACTCTGTGGGTTCTATTTACTTTGATGATTATTTCTTTTGTGCTACAGAAACTTTTTAGTTTAATTAGGTCCCATTTACTTATTTTTGTTTCTGTTGTATTTGCTTTTTGGGGTCTTAGTCATGAATTATTTGCTTATATGAATGTCCAAAAGAGTTTTTCTTAGGTTATCTTTTAGACTTTTTATGATTTCAGGTCTTAGATTTAAATCTTTGGTCCATCTTGAGTTGATTTTTATTATATTGGGTGAGAAATGGGGATCCAGTTTTGTTCTTCTACACGTGGCTAGCCAGTTTTCCCAGCGCCATTTGTTAAATAGGGTATATTTTGCCCAATTTATGTTTTTTTTGCTTTGTTGAAGATCAGTCAGTTGCAGTCAGTTGTATTTCTGGATTCTCTCTTCTGTTGCATTGATCTGTTTACTTTTATACCATGCTGTTTTGGTAACTCTAGCCTTGTAGTATAGTTTGAGTCCAATAATGTGATGTCTCTAGATTTTTTTCCTTTTTGGGGGGATAGCTTTGGCTATTTGGGCCCCTTTTTGGTTTCATATGAATTTTAGGATTTTTTTTTTCCTAATTTGGTGAAAAATGATATTAGTATTTTGATAGGAATTGCATTGAATCTGTCGATTGCTTTGGACAGTATGGTCATTTTAAATATATTGATTCTTCCAATCCATGAGCATGGGATGTGTTTTCATTTGTTTGTGTCATTTCTGATTTCTTTCAGCAGTATTTTGTAGTTCTCCTTGCATAGATCTTACCTTTTTAGTTAAGTATATTTCTAGGTATTTTATTTTTCTTTTTGTAGCTGTTGTAAAAAGAACTGAGTTCTTAATCTGATTGTCAATTTGGTCATTGTTAGTGTATAGCAGTGTTACTGATATGCGTACATTGATTTTGAAACCTGAGGCTTTCCTGAATTTATCAAATATGGAAGTCTTTCAGAGGAGTCTTCAGTTAAGTTTCTATATATGATCATTTCATTCATTGGCAAACAGCAACAGTTTGACTTTCTTTTTTCCAATTTGGGTTCCCTTTATTTCTTTCTCTTGCCTGTTTGCTCTGGCCAGGACTTCCAGTTCTATACAGGTATTGATCGACTTATGACCTATGCAACTTACGACCATTCGACTTTACGACCATAATCGCTAGCCACGACTGCTCCGCGTCTGGCAGCGCAAACGTTGCCCAGCTGGGCGTACGACAGTGCGGACCAGCTTCCGGCAGCACTACCATCTCCGCGTGCACCATTTCAACTGTTATCCCAGACTCGGTACAGCAATTTGTGTTTTGTGTCTTGGATATTTTTCATCAAACTCCTCCCAAGATGTCTACCAAGAGGAAATTGTCTTTGTCTACGCCTCAGGCTGCCAAGAAGAAAAGAAAGGCCATCGATCTCGACATGAAAATGAAGGTAATTAAGCAGTACGAAGGAGGAAAGAAAGTGAATGTGATCACATATGATACGAAGTTATCACACTCGACTGTGTTGATGATTTTGAAAGATAAAGAAAGAATTCGTGAAGCTGTGAAAGGTTCTGCACCCATGCGATCAACAGTTACAACAAAGCAACGAAGCAGGCCCATCCATGAAATGGAGACATTGCTATATATTTGGATGGAAGATCAAATTCAAAAACGGACACCGTTAAGTCTTCTTACTGTGCAGATGAAGGCGAGAAGTCTATTTCAGACTCTGAAGGAGCGTGCCGGGGAAGATTACAGTCAAGAATTTGTAGCAAGCACTGGCTGGTTCCAGAGATTCAAGAAAAGATTCCAAATGCATAGTGTTCGAGTGACTGGAGAAGCAGCAAGTGCGGATGAGGAAGGAGCACGTAAGTTTGTTGATAGTCTCGATGAATTAATTACAGATGAGGGATATCTAGCAGAACAGATTTTCAATGTTGATGAAACTGGATTATTTTGGAAACGGATGCCAGCACGCACTTATATTCACAAAGAGGCCAAAAGCATGCTGGGATTTAAAGCATTTAAGGATAGGCTAACTCTGCTGCTTGGCGGGAACAT